GGGGGGGGGGGGGGGGAATGGGGTTGGACACCCTCCACCCCTCTCCTCCCCCCCCAGCATACAACAACTGCATTCTTGAGTTTACGTGGTCTGAACTAACAGCTAATACATACTGTGTTTGGACACAGCCTTGCTGAACAAAAGCAAAACTGCAGTGATGTGACAAATTTGGAGAGTTTTGTGCCAAGCATGCTTGTTTCTGACTTCCTGAGGTTTCTTGGGGGTTGAATCATGAAATTTAGAACAAAGGGGGTTTGAAGTGACCACAAAATTCAGTTATCAGTTAACTTTCTGTAGCTTCATTATGTGCTTCAAATATTTGTATTTAAAAATTAAATGTTAATATAGAAGAAAAAATAAAAATTGTCCATCCAAAATGACAAAATGCTTTTGAAATTTCACATGGTGTTTAAGGGAAATGGCCATGCTTTTAACAGACTCTCACTGTGACAGCAGCTGCCTCGAGGCATTTTGTGGTTAGGGACAGCAATTACTCTTCTACATTATTTTTCCCCTCATCAGTTCCAGGAGTGTAACAAAATACATTTTTCATGGCCATTGTCACCCAAGGGCTCTGTGTGAGTGTGTATATATCTCGTTTGTGTGAGCAACAGTGGATACTTCTGTAATGGTTGCAGCGCTGCCAGTCTGTGAATGGGTGTGTCGGAGTGAACAGTTCCCAGAGCATCTGTGATAGATGAAGCTCCTTCATTGCTTACTACTTTTCAAAATTGTCCGTTGTATCAAAATGCTCTTGCTAAAATCAGGTATATGGATAAAGCCCTTAGAAAAACGTCGGGGGTACTGTAGGTAAATATGTGCCTGAGATGTTTTTAAAACCTTGTCTCGGTCCAAGTCTGTATGATATATGAGTATTATAATTATTTGGTTACCGCCTGCTCAACTGATTTCTCCTTTTATGAGCTGCCAGGAACATTCTAAAGAAGCAGGGTCTGCACTGACTCTGAGAGTAATGCATTTTTACAGTAAGCAGAAAACCCCATCATCTAGCCTTCGGCATAGTTAGAAAAAAAGGATGTCAAACTTCATATATGCCCCACAGGGAAGTTTCTTTAATGGTTTAGCAAGGTATTAGACCATAGTTACAATATATTTTAGTTGGTATGGAGTACATTCCAGCATGACTTTGTAGTCAGTAATGACTTCAAAACACTAGTTGGTGGTTATATTTTCTTCTTTTAAACCAGTGACTTTCGCTGTGTATCATAGAGTAGTGGCCATTGCTGTTGGGAAGCATCTTGCTTGAATACAAATTTCAGACCTGCTTTCAAACTGGAATTTTGATTCTTTTGGTACAGAATTTTGCAGAATTAGAAAGGACCTGAGGTTATTGTTAATGTGGTTACTAAAGAGGAGATAAAGAGAGCAGCTTATTCATCCTGAGTTCTGTGCTGTTGTGACCATATTGTCACTGACATGTGACCAAGGTGTACTCATGGTGTTAATGTTGGTTTTCTTGTCTAAGAAGCCTGGATTCAGGAGGATATAGATGCTGACGTCTTGGTTAACAAAGATTCTGGGGGAGATTTTCCTCTGTGTATTTGTAAAAACATTTCTCTCAAACTTTTCCTTGACTAACACAATGCAAAACCTACAATTTTGACCCCCAAACTAGAAGAAGCTGGAATAGAAGTAGTAGTACAGATGAAATGAAAGAGCTTAGCTATTAGCCCTGAAGAGGTTGCCAGAGTCTCAGTAGAAGGCAAGGCTTCGAGACAGGACTACTATAGCTATCAGTCAGTGAGAAAGTAAGGGACCTGCCTGCCCCTTGGCTTGTATATCCATCACGTAGATTTGTAAATAAAGCAGTCTGAAGAAGGTCTTTGTGCTAGTTTATTTTCACTTATACTGTGTATCTTGGCTATTTTCCCAAAGCTGAAAAGTAACTAGACTTTATTAAAAGTTCACTTGAACTTGATCATTGTTTAATGGAAAGGTTATATACCTGTCCTTGAAATACTCTTACACACAGAGCCAAAAAACCATGGCAGAGGATTGTCTTGCAGTCTTTGGAGAAATGTTTGTTGATTCTTTAGTTACTGGTGTTCACCACAATGCAGAACCATTACCTTAAAAACAGGAAGTCAGAGAAAGACTTAATGAGGAAAGATAGCATCATACAATTGAGGAAGAAATTTTTAAACTAAATGCTTTTAAAACCACTCCTAGCTCTAGCCAAGGTTAAATGAAATGTTCCCCCCCCACCATACCTGGTGTGTCTTTCTTTCCAAAACAGTTCCCATGACTTTTATAGGCCAGGACTTGAAGACAGTATTAATATTGCAATTATTCATATAGCAACTAAACATGCATGAGGTTCTTCTGTAGCAAGAGGATGCCAGCAGGATGAGGAGTCCTGAGATGCTGATAGACAGGTATAAACAGCAGAGCAAATCACGAGCTCATCACTACTAAAATACTTGTAGAAAAGATGGATTCTCCAGAATTTCATGAATAGGTACAAAAAATGCTTTTATTGAAGGACAACTGCCATTTCAAATGAAAGAACTTAGGGAAGAAAGCAGGAAAATATAGTGAGGAAAAATGTAGATCTCAAAGGGATGTTAGGTTGTATGGCAAGGAGCATGGTGGATTACAGGAAGCAACTAAACTTAGTTATATAGACTGCATGGAGTCTTGAAGGATTTAAGTTAAGGAAGAAATCTGAAATGTATTCAAGCAAGAACCTAGTGTAAACCTCTGCAGATATTTCCACTAATTTGGATAGCAACTGTCAGAAACAGGAGAAAATAAATGAGGAATAAAGATAGCAGCAGCAATCAAGTTAATGTATAATAGGAGTGGAGCTTATAGATACTTAAAAAATTAGAAAAAGTAAAACTGGTGTTGCTGACATGGTGGAGGAAGAAGCTCTGGTGAGCTCTGTGGGATATGGGTTAATTAAAAAGCAAAGGGTAAACGACACAAGGTGGCAATATTCTTATCAGAGAAGAGATGGTATTCAGAGGGAGTGGCTAGACAGAGCTGTAATTGCATTTGAAAATAGGTTGCTAAGAGACATCATTTTTAAAGGCAGATTAGGAAGGACAGACTAGATAAACATCTTCAAAGGACAGTTTGGGTATTAGTGATTGTACTACTGAGTAAGAAGATGGAGTAGAAGACCTCTGGTAACTCTTTCTCTTCTTTGATAAAAGGACAATTTTAGTTCTGAATGTAGTTGACTGGTAGTGGAATAATACACTGCAGGGAAAATATGTTGAGCTTCTTATATAAGGAGAGGATAAGTCATTCCAAGAATTTAAAAGGTTTTTGGAATTCCAGAGATGCTGTAAGAAGGCTTTCCCATTTGCTTTCTGGTCTTCCTGACTTGCATTTCTGTTCCAGCACTAACGGATAAGTGTTTGAAAATACTGTCAAGATGGAAGATGATAATTCTCAACTTCATATGACACATATTCCATTATTTACAAAACATAGATTTTGTTATTTTTTTAAAGATAATTCTATGAGAGAGGGTGAGTGAAGGTGTTCTGCCAAACTCCTTTAAAATTGCTTTTTCCAGGACCAAGGCTAAATGTACAGTTAACTGTGAACTGTAACTTCACAGAGACGGTAATCATGAAGCAGACATGACCCACCACAGTAATCTTGCCTGCTTTGAAAACTATACAACACTGTACTTGAACAATTCATGGTGTTCAAAACACATGATATTTTAGCATCAGCTAGTAACTGAGAGCATGCCTTATCAAATTTAAGTTTTCAGCACTAAATTGAAGTCTTAGACTAGAGAAGTTCAAGCTAGGAATTGAAGGCCAGCAAAGTGAGAGGAGCAAGACAAAGGTTGGGTTTGTCCCAACATCTCTGATACGTACATGATTGCTGCTACCAAGTAAAATCCACATCCACAGGCTATTGTATTATTTGCCTTCACTTGTGTTTCTTTGTGATATATCTGGTGGTTTGGACTGTTTTCTGTGGATTATTGACAACTGTAGGCATGAAGCCACTTTGGTGTAGAAATGACTTTCTAGACTAGACCAGAAGTTCATCAGCTGTTAACAACCAGTTGTTTCTCACTCCCAGGGAGGTGGTAATCAATTCAAAGCCATTAGACACTGTAATTCCCAGTAACCATTATGGCTGCTGCTAATACTGGTGGCAGAGAGAATTGTGTCATTGCTGAACGTCTATCAGTTTCCTACCCGCCAAATCACAAGCCTCCCTACAGTGGCATCAGCAGTAATATCAGTAGCAGCTGGCTGTGATTTTCCTCCCTTGCTGCTGCTGCCGGAGCTGATCCCACCCAAAGGATGACAGAGCAACTCATCATGTGAATGAGTTTGCAGGCAGTAATGTGAAATGGCAACTGAGAGACAGAGGGGTTTTCCTTGGAGAATCTTTCCAGTCAGACTGAGAGTTCAGCTAATTGCGATTTAAAGTTCAAACCTCCGTGACTGTTTCCTGCCTAACGAAACCTGCAGTCATTTTTGGAGTCTGTGCCTACAGTTAAGAACATAATTGAACTCTCTTTTGTACGTACTGGCTTTGGGACTTTCCAGTTCCTCTACATGGCAACACTGGCTGCTTTATATA